TATGTACTGTAATTCAAGTAAACGCCCTACTTGTTCACGCATCCTATAAAAATATTACCCTTCCAATTGAAAGTATTCCAAAAGAACCCAGTTGTGAAATCTAATATTACATGAGATATTGAAAGAGAAAAGGCTACCCTTTACTAAGACATTGTGCTGATCAACATATATATGACATATACATATACATATATATATATATATGATAAAAGCCTTTTATAATGTAGGACCTTCTAATCGTGTTAGCAAATTCGTGGGTACTCGGGATAACTACTTGCAAGAAGTAATTGAATAATTTTCAGTTTTAGATCAAGTCTCCATACACAAACACATATATGCATATATACATACATGATGTGCATATAGTAGTTAGTGGAGAACTTGATCAATTAAAAGAAGAATAAATCTCTTGTGTATCATATAGCTCAGAATAGTACCCATAAGCTCAAAATCATAATACAGCTCAAGGTTATGCTCAAGAGGCAGAAGTTTTTTCCAGATATATATATATATATATATATATATATAAACATAGACATCCATACAACCTTATGGAAAGAAAAAACTTCAATAAAGTTTTGCTTGGTATGATAGGTACAGGCCGTACATGATGTATGTACAGCAATAATTTATGATTAGTCATAATACCATACACTAGAAGTATATATATGGCTCAGCCACATTCTCTTGACAATCTGCTGCTGCATATCATACATTGAAAAAGTAATCAGTAATAAAATTATTTTACAATATTAAGTAACTACCACATAAACTTTTGGGAATTACAGTAAAATATTAGAAAACTGTGACATATGCTGAGGCCATCTAAAACATCATCTTAAATGGCAGATAAACAAGCTCAAATCCACAGCAAATACATCTAGTGAGAAGAATTAGAATGTAAACTTTTTCTGTGTAACAACTTTACTGTCATGATGATATAGGTAAATTTGTTCAAGTTAAGAGAAATAGATCTCAATGACAAGCCCTAACATCATCAGCTGCTAGGAAATAATACCTGTCCACTATTTTTTTGTATTTGGGTCTACCATATCAAAACTAAATATCATCAGGCACAACCCAACCAACAATGCCAATCAAGGTTCATCCTTTATATGCACATCAAGTGCTATAATTCCCCCTTCTTTGAACTGGTTTGTACAGAACAACTGTGACAAATTTGGAGCGGAAGCGGTGAGTGAAACCAAGTGCCACAACAGAACGTGGGGCCTCTCGATTCTCGATGTACAGATGGTTGAGAATCACATTGTCGGGGGATGGTATGGTCAGTAGTGTCCATGCTGCTGGGTAGCTGAGCAAGGTATGCTGCAGTGAGGGGAACCAGAGAGGGTCTCGTGCTCATCTCATTCCAGGGTACACATTATTGTAACTTGAATCTGGAGATTTTGGAACTTCGAATCCCATAACAACTGCTTCATCCTGCACAAAGGTTATTTATTTGAGATCCTTGCAATTCCACCAAGGCAAAAAACAAAGTAGGTTCACTGACTTACATGTTCTTCACCATATGAGTTGTTCATGTTGAAAAGAGAATCCAACTGCCTAATAACAGAAAATCATCAACTGAGGATGATACGATTATACGATGGAGCCTGGAAAAGCAGCAGTTTCTTCCTTGGTAAAGTTCCCAAAATGTAATAAGAGTATAGGGCATACAACGGTGACTAATATAATTTGTTGAAAGGCATGACACTAGAAACTTAATTCAACAGTCAATCCTAACAAATGGACATTTTGAATAATAGGCATTCCAAAGTAATCTACAACTGCCTAATTTTCTGTCACAGCCATGATGTTACATCGCTCCAAAAAAAAGTCTAGAATATATTTAAGAGTTTCCATGGACCCATTTGTTAGGGAAGGGGGGATCAGACGCCATAAGATAAACAGGTTGATAAAAGCATGCACGTCTAGAAAAAATACAAGTAGGAAGGTGAAAGGCACTTATTCTGGGGCAAAATTGCTAATCGGGAACTAATCTATGTTAAGCTGTTCGAGCCTGACCTATTTTGCAGGGGTATCAGTTATGTCCATTATCAAGTCTAATCAAACAAAGAAATGACATTAAACTATTACTTCAAAACAACAAAGATGGAGAGGGAAAAATCAAATACATTAAACTATCAAATAAAAATAATAAAAGAAACAAAAAAGAAAACATCTCTGGTTCTTAGCCCTTTGAAACTCAACTTTCCAGTGCAGGTCACATGGCAGATTCACTTGTTCATGATAACACTCAACAAATAGCTCCTGAGATAAGTGGTCCAAGATCATGAATTTAAACAGTGAATTACTTTGGATGACAATTATTGATCAAGAACAATCAATCTTAATCAGCTAAATGACTACAGTTAGTTATTGTAATTATTTTATGCATACAAGTTAAATATCTGGTCTTTACTCTATATTAACAAAACAACATCTTTAAACAATTCTTTCCAAGTTTGAGCTCTAATGGAGTCTATCCTTTTAGGCTTTATCTCAAAAGGTTAGTCCAACATCAACATATTACTTTTCTCAGAACAAAAAAACATGTTTACCGCCCAAATCTATCCTTGTTTCCTAGAAGATGCCAAATCTACTTTTTTCATATTCTCTCTCTCTCTCTCTCGTGAGATGAGGGTAGGTGCTTAACTTACTTCTCTTCTCCATGGAACCTGGTGCTATAGGCTTTACCTCTTCCCTCAAGCAGAATATCTTAGTCCCCACCTCCTCTTTCTTTCTCTCTCTCTCTCTCTCTCCCTCCAAACCAGTAAACACCTATTAGAGCAAAGTTGGACATGCTCCCACCCTAATATAACTTTCTTTCTTTTCAGTGAAAAGTAACATGTCTAATATGCACATCAACTACTCGCCACAGATTTCATACCCTTACCATTCATTGCGTGCCACAAGTACATCACCAGAAATACCAGGTCTGAGCAACATAGGTTCCAATCGGCCAAAGTTTATAAGCTATGAAAGGAATAGCCTGATATAGGCCATTTTTCCTTAAGGTCCAACAAATCTACGAACAAATTCTAGCAAATTGATCGGGAAAAAAAAGATTAGTGCAATCACAGAACCTTTAAGAACATTGGACAAAACCCTTTCTTTTCTTCAAAAGGAAGAAAGCAAAACCCTTAGTAAACAAAGAACCCATTCTGAAAACTAAAATTGTAAAAAGATCTTTAACAGGAAACCATGAATTAATTCCTAATGAAACTTACAAGAATAACCAAACTGAAACAGAAATCATACAGGAAAAGTAAAGTTTTCTAAATAGATCAGAAATAATATTTTTTCAAATCTGGTAGTTCTTATAGTGATTACGATCTATTCTTATAATTGTCATAGCATTAAGATTTTATTATTTTGATTTTTGTACAGCAGTTTTACTATTAGGATTGTTTTAATTCTTTAAAGCTTCTTACTAGAACTTCTAGCCATAAATACATAGGGTTAAGTATGAGTCTACAAAGACTGTAGTTTCTTGCATAAAAAAAAAAAGAGAGACAGAGAGAACTCGTTCTGCATGCTTGCGGATGCAATCAGCTCAAGAGATTCTTGAAACGGAAATAAAATTCTGAAAATAACCAAAGAAAAGGACTAACAGAAATACCATAATGGTAAACCAACCCCCCCCCCCCTCCTCTACCTGCATACATCAGATAATTTGTTACTTTTCTACTTGCTATATTTGAGTTGTGTGAAAAGAAAGAAGCATAAAAGTTTTTGATAGGGTCGAAGAGGGTATTGACAGAATCCGAGAGAGATGGTTTCAGACCCTTAATTTTGTTATCATGGGTCAACCATTGTATTACATGGAAGATTTAAAAAGAATTAATTGACATCCTTACCGACCTTAAAATAATTTTGCATATCAGTTTGCACCCCCCTTGTAGCTAATAGTTAACGATACTGGTTATACTTGTTATTTTCTTTTTAAAAAAAAGTTACTTTCCTTACCAACCAGACTCGAATTCCCAGTTCTTAGCTGTGTTGACTAACACTAGCATGATATCTAGGTTTTGCTCTAAATACTAAGTAGATATCTAATCCCTAGTCTATCCTAAATCAAGAAAGATGATGAGCACCAGAGAATATCTGAAATTCGTGCTCATCACTACACTAACCTAGAAAATCTGATCAAAAACAGGAATGAGAAGTAATTGAAATTTACATTTCAATCTTGCAACAGTTTCGATCAAATCTCCAAGAGAGTTCCTAATCATTCAAGAGGTAATTTAAGAGGCTGAGTGAGATAAGAACAGTGATACAAGAAAAATATAAACCAAACGGATTACATGGATATGAAATCACTGGAAGAAAGAAACTTGATACAATCGAGAAGGAGGACAAGAATAAGTAGATGTACCGTAAAATTTACAGCTAGTAGCAAAGCTGGAAAGTACCCACCGCAGTACGAGAGCTTCAAATCTGCAAGTACACAGATAACAGAATGACCGGTTAAGTGACTTGATCTTCGGTTATCTCCTTCACCTCTCTCTTCTCTCAGAATTTTTCCGAAAACCCTCCCCCTCGGTGAGAGCGTCTAGTACTGGACAGGAAGCTGCCTTTGGAAGATGTTATTACGAGAAATGGATGAAGTAATTGAAGGAACAACACGAAATGAGAATCTGCTTGAGTAGAAAGAAAACGAATAGGAATTTTTTCTTGTTAAAGAAAAAAAGGGATCTCCTTCTCGTCTTTTCCTCTGCACTCTTCTCTCTCTCTCTCTCTCTCTCTCTCTCTCTCTCTCTCTCTCTCTTCTTTTCTCTCTATGTAATCTTTGTGTTCTTCCAAGCTTTTCTCCCCCAAAATCAAACACAGAGATACTCGCTATGTGCTGGAACCTCTCCGGGTATTCCGTCTGTCAGCTCTCTCTCTCTCTCTCTCTCTCTCTCTCTCTCTCTCTCTCTCTCTCTCTCTCTCTCTTCCCTTCTTCTTCCTCCCTCCTCTCTCCTTTTCCGCTTGCCTTCTTGGCTGCTTCTCTTTTCTAAGGAAATTAATTAATTATTTTCCTTGAAAATTAAAAAGGTAATAAATGGTGTTTTTATTGGGCTTAAAATTGCTTTTAAGCCCGATTACTCTTTGGGCTTGGGCTTTTTAAAATTAATATCATAAATATTTTTATTATTATTTCAAAATTATTTCTTATATTTTCTAATATCATAAATTGATCGTAATTCTTAAAAAAAAATTCAACCCAAAAAACCCTAAATCAATAATTTCTTTAAATCCTTCTATCCACCCCCAATCTTAAACCCCTTACAACTCATATCTTCCTCGTAGATCGCTGTCGCATTGGAACTCTCTTCTCTCTCAACAGTAAGGCCGGCCGCCGTCTTTTATCTATGAAACATAAGAATGAACTGATATGAAGTTTTGTTTCTTTGTCTTATTTTTATGCTGCGATTTGATTAGATATGGTTTAGGTTGATCTGTATTTCTGTCCTTTTTTTGTTATCGTATGTATATATAAGTTTATATTCATATGATCGGATCGTACATGTTTTCGTTTTAATCTGGAAAAGGATGTTCTTGATCCGCGACTTCTGTTTCTGTTGATAGTTGAATGTGTAAAAAGTCTTGTATTTTTATGTCGATAGCCCAAAATCTTCCGACACAGAGCCCAGCCCGCACAAATCTTTCTTAGAATTAGGGTTTAACCATGTTATAAAGGCCGAAAGCTGTCTCCTTTTTGTAGCAACAGCCGCCACTCACTCTCAAAACCCCTGCTTTCTTTCTCGCAAACTCAGCCTTCTACTCTTCATCTCATATACACGTCCCTTAACCCTTTTCAGCCTCCTTTCGTATCAGGTATACTCACCAGGTAAACAATCTAGTCTTATGTTGGTTTTATAATCTTTGAGGTCTAACCGGATTTAGATGGAAAAACCCTCATCATAATTTGTTGAACCCTATATTTGAGTTTTACAGCTCTTGCTACTTGGTTCCTTAGGTGTGGGTATTCGCTGAGATTTAGACATTTTTGTATTATCTGTGTTTTGGAGATCATTCATGGAATATTTGAAAGCTTATTGGGTTGCTATGCACAGAGTATTGAAAAAGAGAAAAGTGAGAAGAGATGGCTTTTGCTGCAATGAAACCGGTCAAGCCGGGGTTGGAAGAACCTCAGGAGCAGATTCACAAGATCAGAATCACCCTATCCTCCAAGAATGTGAAAAATCTTGAGAAAGGTTCTTTTTTTTTTCCGTATGAGATCATAACAATATTTGTCACCATTCTGTTTAATATATAATCCTATTCTCTTGATGACTCGTGTACTTTGTAATTGTCTAGAATATGTTGACCTTGTTGTTTATTTTTAAATTGAGTCTTAGTCAAAATGACAGTTTGGATTTGCTCTGATCAATGAGTTTCTCTAGATATTATTTTAGTTTGCTAGTTTGGGAAATAAATTGACTCAAAAAATTTGGTAAATTTTGTCAAACTAATTCAACTTCTTGTTTGTTTCTGAGGTTGTTTTTTCTGCTTAATGATAGTTTGTGCGGACCTAGTTCGAGGTGCCAAGGATAAGAGATTGCGGGTTAAGGGACCGGTGAGGATGCCAACCAAGGTTCTTCATATAACCACCCGGAAATCCCCTTGTGGTGAAGGTATACTCCAGAACAATCTTGCTGCCATCTAGTTCACTTCAAAATTTATGCATAAGCATTTGGCTATATGAATTTTTATAACTTTAGCTCTCATTGACCAATATATGCCTTCTTTATTTGGCTATGAAATTGTTCGTGACTGTTCCAATGTTCATTATGCATTAGCTAATTTACGTATAAACTAGTTTCCTACTTTATTTAGTAGTTCACACGAATCTGTATTTGGGTATGATGTTATTTTGGAATTGACCTTAAACAGTTCAGTCCCATTCGATCTCATCATCATTCCAGGCCCTTGTCTGGCTTTTATTCATTGTCTTGTATGTGGGCACAATGTTATTTTTTCCCTGAGGTTTTATGGTTGGGATGACATGGTAGGTGGATGCAATTTTTTATGTTTGTTGGCGATGCTTTATATACGCTAGAAGGGCCTGTGTAAATTTGGTCTTGTTGATATTTCCATTGCCAATTCTTAATGTGTTAAAGTCTGATGGCTAATTGTTTTCAATTTGCTGTCGGATCTTTATTGTGATTTGCTTGTTAGGCAAAGTACATGATTTTTCCTTGCGGTGTGGGATGTGCATGCCAAGTTCATCCTACGGATACAAGTTTTGAGCCAGTTTTATTAAGTTTTGCTGTGCTCTGTAGGAACCAACACGTGGGACAGGTTTGAGCTTCGTGTTCACAAGCGTGTGATCGACCTATTCAGTTCACCAGATGTGGTTAAGCAGATAACCTCCATAACAATTGAACCTGGTGTTGAGGTGGAGGTTACAATTGCAGATTCTTGAATGCTCCTTCTCTTTGACTCGACCTGGCATCCTTAGAAATTAGATGAAGGTCTGGATGTGCGCTTAAACAGACAATTTTTGACACTAGGATAATGAGATATGTTTTTTTTTCCCCTGCAAAATTCAATTTTTAGACTTATAAAAATTCAGTATTACTGAGTCGAGAACTTCTCCTGTTTTGATTGCATTAGCAGAATCTTCACAGTTTGTGGATTACCTTCATGAAAATGCTGTCCTTATGATGTTACCAACTGTAGTTCTCATATATTTCTTGCATATAAGTGGTAGATGAGATCTGTAGCGGGCGAGTTCAGTTAAAAAATTTTCAAAACAGTAAAAACGGACTGGATTGAATTATTTGGTTAGGTTGCAGAAGAGACTCGGTATTTTGATGAATTGGTAAAACGAGTTGGTGAGTAGCAAATTTGGGCCGGGCCGAGCCTGATCCAGTCAATTTGGGCCGGGTGGATCTTTTAATTTTTGGTCTATTGGCAGGGGAATGGCCTGCAAATTAATTAAAATATTATTTGTTTTAAGTTAATTTAATGTTTAATTATCTCAAGAAAAATAATTTTAAATTATTTTTTATTTTTTTATTTTTTTCTCTGTTGAGTATATAGATCTATAAGCTTTATATATAATATATTTATGTAATAAAAATATAATTACATAAATTTTATTTTTAAAAAATATATATATGCTAGTTTGAAAAACCTATTAGATTCATAAACTCAGCAAAATAAGAACTTAATAATTTAATATTTTTTAAAAAATAAATTAATGTGCACTATTTTTCGAATTAATATTAAAAATAAGAAATTTAAAAAATTATTTAAATTAATTAAGAAACACCGGCTATATATATATATATATATATATATATATATATATATAAAGCATTAAAGGTGGTGGGTTACGGGGCAATTTTTTAATTGGGAGCGAATTTATATATATATAATTAATTAATTCTCTCTCACAATATTTAATTATGCACGTATATACCAATGTTTTCGTATTAAAAAATTACTGTACTGATTTATATTAAGATACGATACTAGGTTATTGTCGGCCACAAACTAAACTGGATGTAACACGAAGCCCTACTTGAAGGAGAATATATATATATATTCTCTATGTATATAACAAGAGATTATTATTGTGGACCAACAATTACGCAATTAAAATATAACATACGTATAGTTTATAGTTTTCTTAAGCAAAAATATGCTTTTTACATTTATATAATATAAAATGATAAATATTTAAATAACCAAAAATTAGTAAGAATTCTATAAACATGATTTATTGATTTTAAAATAGTGTAACTAAAATCACTAATTTAAAATTAACTAATTATTAGGGAGAACAATTATTTTTTGATATAGTATAACGGCTCGGAACTTAAAATAAAATAAATTATAAATTGAATACGGAAGCGAAATAATAGAATTAGGGTTTATATTTCTTACACAATAATTTAAAATACCCAATAGAGTTACAATAATGATCATTCTAAAAGAACAAATAAAAAAAATTAAGAAATAAATGAAAAGTAAACAATTAGATATTCTAAGACGACATTCACTAACCTTTAAAGGGAGTCCGAGTAGTGAACTATTCACAACCCCTTTGTTGATCGGAATCTGAATCTTGATCCTCTTGATCTGAAATGGTAAGCTACACTAACCTTGTAAGAATATCACACTATTCACCGATAAAAAAATAAATGTTGGTAAAAATCATTAAAACAACTAATGGATGTCTTAATTTAAGTAAATTCATTTATCTTTAGTAAAATCATTTATTACATACTTACATTTTGCGAGATTTTCAAAACCAATCTATAGAAATAATAGCTCAACAACATCATAATCTCATATTCAACTAAGGAAAAATAATAATTTTTCATTTTTATTTATCTACTCGTATGCATGGAGGTCCATAGAAATGTCCCACTACGCGTAAACCAACATCCAACCTTGTCAACTAAACAGTCGTCCTCATACCCCATCTGGTATGAGCACAAAAAATATTATCCCTCAATACTTCATCTAGTATGAGGGTGAACAAGTCGTCCTCATACCCCGTCCAGTATGAACGCCAAAAATATCAATCCTCAGATACCCCATCCGATATGAAGCGACGTTCACGATAGGGTTTTTTATGTACTTCATTCGTCCTCCATCTCCTAAGATATCCAGTAAGCCTATCATTCATTCATTCGCTTAATCAATCAATTTTTTACATTTAATTTTTAGTTTCATAATTTAACAGTAAATCATGTAAGACAAGCAATACATGCATCAAGGAAACACAACCGAATCATCTTTTTTATTTTCAGTGTATTATCATATATTCAAAACTGTAAAATCAAATAATCAGTTAAAACATGACAAAAAGAAATAAATAATCGGTTTCGACTCCATTAGTAACCTGCAATTAATTATCAAAGTCTTCTAATTTACGCAAAATACCGTATTATTTATAATTAGACTTTAATTTTATAGCAGAGAATAAGGTGAAGGATTCTTATTCGAATCAGTATCCAAAATATTGAATTTTCTACTGCGCTTACTGGCAGTCCCCGAGGTTCTTGAATTTTTTTGTGGAGATTAAAACATATTTCACTTACTTAGAAATACACTAAAAAATTCAAAATCGGTGTTAAAAAACTTTTTCGACCAATTTTGAAATTCCAGCATGGAGGCACCGCCGTGCTCTGACGATGGCACCACAGCCCACAGCGGCGATTTGACTCGGATTGGCAGGTTTTATACTCATACATGTAAGAAAACACGTTAAGGGACTTCGGTTGGTCAAAAAAAGTCGAAAAACAAAAACTTACCTGCAATGAAATTTTCCGATGTTGTGGCTCTGCCGAATTGCCTTTGCGGCTGAGTGTTTTTCTTCGATCAACCTGTAGAAAATAAAATGGTAAACACAATGGTGAAAAAATTGCACGAAACTGGAATCGGGAAGGAGCTAATCGGATAAATTTTTTTATTTTTCCTGCTCGAGTGATACAAGATGTTACAATTGTAGTTCTTGAGGAGTTCTATCCATCTTCTCTTACGCATGTTGAGATCCTTTTGAGTGAATATGTGTTTCAAGCTGTTATGGTTAGTATAGATCTAAAAAATCTCCATATACAAGTAATGACGCCAAGTCTTCAATGTGTGGATAATCGCGGCAAGTTCTAAGTCTTGGGTGGGATAATTTTTCTCATTATTCTTCAACTGCCTGGGCCCATAGGCTATGACCTTCCCATACTGCATCAAAACACAACCCAACCCCAGGTATGAGGCATCACTATAAACTGTATATTCACATGTCCCGCTCGGCAAAGCCAACACAGGAACAATAGTCAATCACTTCTTTAGTTCTGAAAAACTCTTTTTCACAGTTTTCGTTCCACTCAAACTTGATGTTTTTCTTTGTGAGTCGAGTCAAAGGAGCAGCTAGGCTAGAAAATCTTTCGACAAACCTGTGATAATAACCTGTTATCCCCAAAAAGTTACGAATCTCCTTGACTGAGGTTAATTTTTTCCAACCGAGCACTAGCTCAACTTTTTCAGAGTTCACTGACACTTCATCCCATGATATGATGTGCTCTACGAAGGTAGTCTACTCGAGACAGAACCAACACTTACTCAACTCTTCATACAACTTCATTTCTCTGAGAATCTACAAAACCTGAGTTAGATGGTGACCGTGTTTTTCTCTACTTTTTGAATATACCAGGATATCATCGATAAATACAATGACGAACGGATCTAGAAATTGTCTGAAAACCATATTCATCAAATCTATGAGGATGGTTGGTGCGTTGGTTAGTCCAAATGACATGACTAGGAACTCATAGTGTCTGTACCTAATTCGAAAAACTATTTTGAGAATGTATTCTACCTTGAACTTTAACTGATAGTATCCTAATTGTAGGTCTATTTTAGAGAAGACCTAGGCTCCCTACAACTGATAAAAAAAGTCATCAATTCTATGGATGAGGTACTTATTCTTGATCATGACCATGTTCAGTCCTCTATAGTCAATAGATAACTTTAATGTCTCATCCTCCTTCCTTACAAATGTGAATACAGCACCCCAATGGGACATATTATGTCGGATGAATCCACTATCCTACAATTCATTGATATGTTTCATTAGCTCTTCTATCTCCACATAACTCATACGGTAAACGGCAAATGAAGTAGGTCGGGTGTGTGGGGGAAAATATATGGGGAATTCAACTTCTCTATCCACTAGCAGTCCGACTAGTTCATCTGGGAACACATCTAGGAAGTCATGAATTATCAGAATCTCTCGAATACAAATTTTTTTCTTAAGTTTACCTAATTAGAGAAAA